CCACAGCCTTGAGATGACTGGACAAGAACATTTAATGCGGAATTTATCCTCACCATTATCTGTCTCATTCAACGTGCATTTGTTTTTAAAATCTTCAGTCAAATCTTGATGCATTCTCAGGTATGTAAAAGTGACTGCAGCAACCCAGAAAACTCCTAGCGTAAATGGTGATAATAATAACCATGCGTAGTTGAAGTTATGTTGATTAGGTACGTGAAGGAAGTGCCTTTCTCCAGAGTTCTTCTATGAATGAGAATGATTGATGCCGTTTTCCTAACCCATACTGAGTCTATGAAAAGCAGCCATGTTGGTCGTGATTTTATCGTGTGATTCGGGCCCGACCCTCCACCTAGTACCAAAAATGTTGAATGCCTAATAAATTTGGTCACGGCAAAAATCCGATGAAGGAAAATGTCTGATGTTGAATTCTCCTCTCCTGATATTCTGAAAGTCCCCTTTTAATTGTCATGTTCTATCTAATTTTAACACTTTGGGAATACTGACTAACTGATTAGTGTGTATTTGCTTTTTACAAAGCGTAAATTACATCCACTCCTCAGTATGACTGCCCATGTTGTTCACTTTCGATTTTCCTAAGCAGCAAAATAATAGGAAAAGCAATACAAAACCTTCAGCTGAACAGCATTCTAAGATTCCGCGTTGGTGAAACGTCAATAACCGTACTGACGTGAAGAATGCATCAAGACTTACAGTGAGCTGTCTCAAGCCAGAAGAGCTTTTAAATCTGGATAGGACTGGATAGAAGGCTCATCCTTCTATGGAGCATTTCAGCAGTAAGCATGCTGGTGATCTAAATTATGAACTTCATGGTAAGTAGACAAATATTGCTGATGGTAGTTTTAATGTGACGCCTGATAACATCAACAGACAGAAGGTTGAATTCATAAACTATCGGATTACGTATCAGTGGTTAGACAGTCAGCAAAGTTACTTTAGAGACTGAAGGCTCAGGGATCTATAGATAGAGGCGTCATACGATGTAATGCTGAACAAGGGACGAAATAGCAATCCAGGGTTTCTCAATATTCACTAGTCCCCATAATGAAGTCAATTCATGATCATTATTCACTCACTTCATACTAAAATTTATTGGTAATGTATACTCCATTCTGAAGGAAATCGCAAACGTTTCTCATAATAAAATGTTTTAAGAACAAATGAAGCATTTATGAAAAATTGTTCCCAGAGAGTGACGAAAAATTTGCAGTATTTCTTTAAAATGGAAAAGTAACACATACAGCAGATCACGCACTGCATCACCATTTCGATGCGTCGGATGATAGGAAAATAAATGGGATGAATAGAGCACATTCGAAACATGCACCCTTCATCTATTTATTTCCGGTTGGTTTATATGATAATGCACTAGGAATACTTGTAGTGAAGTGTAAATGATTGTGAAATATGTCTTCATAATATCAAATATTTTCACGTTTAACCACGGATTAATATCAATCAGGGAAACATTGTAAACCACCAAGTGATACTGGAGAGCTATTTCGTGTCAGGTTAGGTTGATAGTCATCAGGAGTACACGCTGACTTGGATTCAAACACGAGGCTTTCCTGTTACAAGGCCATTCAGTGATGGGACCCAATCTTGATGCAAATGACTTCTACCAAAGCGTAACTTGAGCACAACAAATAACCAGTGTCATATCTAGTGAATATTTGTCTTCATTCTGACGAGATGGATACCACTTTTCACGACGTCTCACTCCAACTTCACACACCACATTACTTCCTAATTTGTGATGGTCTTCCCAGTGATATTGATCAATTGTGACACATAAAAGAAATAAATCTCCTGCTCAAAAATCCCTGAAATTGTTTCTACAGCTAGTATGTTCACGCATGAACGATGGCAATTGCCCAATAACAAATATGTACCTATAACTCTGTGATTTTTATATCTGTAGGCGTAGTCAAAAGCCAATTTTTAAAATTTATTTTGGTTATGGCTTGATGCCACACAGTATTTTAGTACAAGTATGGAATTTTCAGCATATGATTTCGATGGCCCAAATTTAGAAAACTGACCACTGATATCAGGCGTGAGTCGGCCGGCGATGTAACCCCGATAATTTACATGGTCGGTTTTAACCTCTGGGTCATTGACGCACAATTATTCTCTTTCTTACCTTTCAATAGGACGTTGGTGCTTCATTCGACTTTGTCTTCTCAACTCGCATGTACACAGTTTTCTATTTCACGGCGTTCTCTGAGTGTGGCAAGTGAAGACTTTAAATGCTGATGTTCACGTATTTCTTTCTACTTTACAGCAAACCCACTGTATCTGTTTAAGGAAAACTACCAAATGACCCTATTTATCACCGAATGTCTTTTTGTCTAAAACGCTGAATTGAATCACCCATTGCGGAGAATGCACCTGTCATTTAGACTCTGGCAGTAGGCAAAAGGTAACGTCGTCAGAGTTGCTGTCAAGGTACTGTGGAGCGGTACTGAAAGGAAATGAGAAAACATTATCTTACGAGATGGGCGATTCCTGAAGATGGAACAGCTTAGAGTCGGACACGATAAATATTTCGCAACTTTTACAGAATGATATTTCCTCACTATGTATCAACTATGTATCTACCATCTAGAGCTTTACCTGAGGAAGAAATAACTGTGGAGCTTCAAACAATCATGTCTCACTTCCTAAATGAGTTAAATTTTAAATTTCACTAAAGTTTTAATTGTCTAAAGACGAAAACAGCAGATACACATGAAGGTTTTATACTTTTTCTAATTAGAATGAAATCAACACACGTTCGCATTGATACTAATAAAAACAGCATGAAAACAAAATTGTTTACTCCTAAAAAAAGACGACTACGTTGAGAATGGCTCAGTAGTCGTATTGTTAATTTCGTTACATGTATTTACGAAAACTATGATGATTTGTCATCTTTTATCCTCTTTCAAGGAGCTGTTTTTTTCAATGACAGAGGTAAACATCGACCAGATTAGAGGTGCTTGATGACACACACTACTGATAGAGACTAATATAAGTAGCAGGATTTCACTCACATCAGCCTTTAGTCTGATGATTGTTATGTGTGCCGATTAAGTGACTGTTTGTAATGACTTCAATGCTTTGCAGTCGGATTCTTCCTAAACGAATAGTGATTTATCAGAAATCGATCAGTTTTTGTTTTCGTGTAGTTTTAAGCTAAATTTTCTACGAATACCAGAAACTGTAGGTTACACTTTCAGACATCAACGGGACATACGACATGATTAAAAGGTGGATCTTGTAGGATAGCATGAACTGAGGCAGAAGTTACCACTGAATGCAACAGATGAAGTCTTTATTCTTTCTTTATTCATCCCCACCAAACGAATTTGTAGAAAAATGTTTCTTTGAAAACGCTGCTTTACAAACACTTGAAATCCAGTAAGAAGTAACCAAAAGTAATTTTATGGGATTCTCAGTACATCTGACCTTTTGCAACTGTTAAGAAATAACAAGAAATTATACCTGACTTCATCCTCGGAAAATTGAATATAAGAAGTCAAAGTGTAAGGTGTGAGAAATACCTTCATATTGGTTTGTTTATTAGGTAAATCACACAGACATTGAAACAGTATTATTAACTGCACGACTTCGACACTTTTGTTTAACAGTTTCCTTTATCCTTTCCTATGTGTCGTAGAGGTAGTAGAATTTCTCAGATATCCAGTTTTCAAACTGTTATTGTATCCTACCTGATACTGTTTTAGTTTGTGTGACGGCATGCAGTTAGTGGTAGAGCTGAAATATTCTCCATATTGTTATATTTTTCCAGGTCAGCTAATCTATATATTGCTAGGATTTTATGTTCCTCTAGTCTATCTGACTTAGTTCTACCGTTTTGACTTATGTATTTGACCGAACAGTCGTTGCAGCATATTAGATAAACTTATTTGTTTCATTTAATTTCCTCACCAAGATTAATGCCTTAACCGACAAGGCATATTTCTAATTGAGTTTGTGTGTTTGAGTGCCACTTTTATTCCTACATTGTTAAGAATACTCTGTAAGGTGGTTTTCGAGATTGCTTCTTTGTATGGAATTACTACTGACGGTTTAGATTTCTCATTGCTGGTTCGATATGCATGTCGTTATTAATAATATTATTATCACTATCACAGTGCCCTAGTTTTAGGTATAAATTATTCTGAGAAAGATTTATTTCAAATCATGAAGTATTCGTGAATAGTTCCAGAAGCGAATATAATCCAAAGGACCCAATAATGGTGAGAACAGATGACCTAGCTCCTCTATCGCCAAACATTCTATAGAGACGGGACAGAAAACTAATGTTTACATGTCTTTTAAACGTATTTATAAAGCTTTTTTGGGGCGTACCCGAAAGCTTCTGGTAGCTCCAGCGATTAAACAGTCTGGAGCACTTTTATGTCTGCAGAACATTTCATCATCACATTAAACCTTCCTTGGTAAACGTTGCCTTGATACCACGGTAGATGTACTATTACCTCCCTTGTTCGGCCTAGTGACCACTGCTAATTTGACATTCAATATTTTCTTTTAACTTGCCGTAAGTTTTTTTCTCCTACCTATTAACACTTTATTATTTCCATTTATATTCATATGACATGTCCGTTGAGTGTGATCAGACTGGTCGAAATGTGTTGCGCAAATGCAACATTACACGATTCACGCAAATTAGGTACTGTTATTGCTTTGTCTAAGTAAATCCATAAATGGAACTAATTGTTTAAATATCTCCGTTTTATTCTGTAATGACTTGTGATTTATCAATATATTCACGTGGTATTATTATTCTCATTATTGCTTTCATAAAGCCTTATAATATGAGGCGAACAATAGCCTCAATATTGTAATATATCGAGAGAATGCCACATTGTATCAAAAATATGATTTCGAATGAATCCTTGATTATTACTGCTTTAATTATCGAACATAATTATGAGGCTGGGCGTAATGAAAACAAAAAGACCTTACACACTTACTGTATTTCGATGAGGCTGAGGCTGAATGTTGAAGACCCCTTCTGATTAAATTCTTTGTGATGAATGTGATCACCAGCAAAATGATATTTAATATAATTCCAAAAGTTATCAGAGACAATAGAAGTTTATGTCTTCTTTCATTCCATGTTGGAGTAAGCGATTTGACACTGACCAGAGTGCCATTCATAATTCAAGAATGTTGATAGCGATAGTACAATCAGGATTGCAACAGACTTTCTTTAAGTAAAGTGAATTTATATTTCGTAGTTGAACATTCTAAAATAAACAAAAATATAAACAAATATTTACTTAGTTCAATGGATACTACACAATATGTGTTAATAACACCTTACATATTACGATTTCTCTCCAGTACACTCAAGGAATATCGAGTAAAAGTTTAAAGTTAAAGTAAAAGATTAGCAATTCCGAGCCTAGTATTTTGTCTGTTATCAGCACCCAGATTTTCTCTTTACATTCAGCCATCAATTACTGAATAAATAAAAATCTTTTATCAAAAGCCTTATTTATCACTATAATTGTTTCCCTTGTTTCTTTGAGGATGATAGGACTTCATCCGCACATCTCCATTGCGTGTTTCTCCGCCAACGTTTCAAACGCCAAACTGTTATCCACTAGACCACTTAAGGGACAATATCCATTTTTTGAGTAACATGTCTTATTAATTATTCATCTCAACTTAGATTGTCGGTTTATTGGGTCGGAGTACCCTGTGTCAGGTCGACATGTCGACTACTTGTGCGATTCAGTCAAATTGAATTTAAAATAAGACATTTTTAGGTGACTATACTGTCAATTTTCACATTCAAGCACATAAAAATCCAGCATTCATAATAAATATACTTAACTTTCAGCTGCTACGGAATCGATCAGTGGGTGTAAAACGGAAAGGTAAGGATGAAGTTGAGGCTAGCGACTTCACTCTTTAGGGGAGCAGCGCCACCAGTAATGCAACTGTGAACGTAAATTTTTGAAGTTTTATATCGTTAACGCAACTTAATTGAGTCACAAATGTGATGAAGTGATGGAAAAAGGAGGAATTTGTTTTTTGCAAGGCATTTTTCAACTCAGGGTTCTCGCATACTTTTAAATATCATGTTGAAAGGTGAACATCTCATAGGTAACATAACTTTCACCTTTAGAATACAGGAAGTTGAATAATGATATCATCCTTCCTTGAAATTCACATTAAAATTCACAATATTTTTAGATCGTGGTCCTCCAGATGATCAGTTAATGAGATCATATATGATCATTTTCATAAAAGGACAGGCAGTGAACAATTTATTTAGAGATATGGCATAATTCAACTTCCGTTAAACTATAATTAGGAATGTAGACTGTCTATGTTTTCAACATCAATTAAAGGAAATCTAGAGAAAATCACCCATTTCACCTATCTAGGAGACATTGTTTTGACAACATGTATCACCGATGAGAAAATCAAAGCTAGACAGCATAGAAAAAGCAAGACACACCTTCAGTACTCTGATATCAGCATGAAAATCTGTTGCACTTAGCACAACAAACAGGATATGGTTCTTCAACAGTGGTGTCAAACCAATCCTTGATTTCATCGAGCATGCATGATGAAAAGAATTTCCAACAGGCTAATACAAATCTTCATCATCAACTGCCTTATACTGATGGACTGATCGATGGCTGGAAAGGATAAGAAATGCGAAACTCTACCAGTTTGAAAATGATGCACAAATCTCTTGCAGAGGAAATCTATTCAGAGGGAAATGGGGAACGATTGAGTAAATACTTTGGAGATATGGAACATACATCACAGTTGGAGTTCTCAAGCATGGGTCTAGTGAAAATGTGAAATTAGGAGTCCAAGGGATACGCGGAGCAGGACGTGTGAGAGGGAGATGAAGGCTCATGGGTAATCAAGAAGATTAAAGAGAACAGACTTAAATGGCGGTGTATGTTGCACTTGGAACTAAGTGGAATAATGGTTTTATGAAAGCTTTGAGGTAGATTCATTTGTTTTTAATGTCTGGCCTTTGATACAAAAATTAGGCGAAATATGCAATCTTGTTCGTATACCGTATTCGAAGAAAGTTAACTGTAGTAATGCAGTGTAAAATAGGAAATAGTGGAAAAGATGAAATTATCGATATTACCAAAGAATTAAAAGTCGTCTTATGTCCATGAAATATGTTATGTGAAAGAATCATGCAAATGAATGTGGACCTTTGCATTCAGTTTTATAATGAATTTCAAATTATTTGAGTCAACAAGAAAATGTATTCCAAGGAAATGATCTCAGGCAAATCGAGTTATTCATATCTAAGTTTTCGTTGATATGCAAACAAGTGGAGCCACTCAGACGTTATTCCACCTGCTCATAAGTTTTCCTGATAATTTTTTTGAAGAAAATTAAAAGTTCGTTGAAGCGCAATAATTTCAGACATTTAGATAACAAATGAAGTGCATTCCAGGAAATAAGAATTTTTTATACAGTAGGCATTGCGACTGGAACTGGATAGTTCACGTTCAGGAAGTACTACATACTGTGCTTCTTTACTCACATACTGAAGTAACAGACAAAGATTGTTACTATTATGTTTTGTCTATAGGATAATACGATGGTGAATATAAATTGTGCAGTTAGTCATAATAGTGGTAATGATAATATTAATAATAGTAATAATAATAATAATGGTCTTATCAATAATAAGGATGAAAAAATGAGGCAATCTGTGATAACCTTGAATGACGAAAAACAGTTATATTGGGCGTACTACTAGACAGCTTAGCCAACGTGTTAGTGAACATCTCCCATCGTGGTTTGGCAAAGGACAGACAAAAACAATCCGTAGCTCAATTCTGTCACATCTAATTGATAGTGGTCATGTAGTCGATAAAACGAAAGCCTTCAAAGTAATTCATCGTATCCCTCCGAATCTTTCTAATAGATTTCGTATTCGTCTACTGCACACAGCTGAGGCGATAGGCATTCGAACTATTAAACCTAAACTATGCATTCAAAAGAAGTTCGTGCAGCCATTATCCCTCCCATGGCCTAATAAGACATAACCAACGAAAGACTTCTACCCCACCCTTTATTTATATTTCCAACCCCTTTCTTATCATCCCCTAATCTTATCTTATATTCATTATAAACGTGTTTCATTTCCTTCCCCTACAATCTAACATTACGTAATCGGTTCATTTGTTTTTACTAGCCTTTATCGACTACTTCTACCTGAACAATTGTTTGTTTAATCATACTGTTTTTCGTCATTCAAGGTTATCACAGATTACCTCATTTTTTCATCCTTATTATTGATAAGACCATTATTATTATTATTACTATTATTAATATTACCATTACCATTATTATGACTAACTGCACAATTTATATTCACCATCGTATTATCCTATAGACAAAACACCATGATTGGTTTATATTTGAATTTTATTTGTAAACTATTATGTTTTCCCAGTAAACCAAAGGGTTTCACCGACACATCTCTATGGGATTCCGTTCTCTATTATCAGTTACAGTTGGCTGCACCATTCATAACAGGTGTTAATCACCATCTTGTAAATTACCACTAGGTACCGGAACCGCTAGTTTCTACTCAGGCTACATTCGACAGCCTGATTTGTTATGACGCTTGAAAATCTCGACAACACACACCTACTGTTCGCCTCTATTTCCCTCTTCGTTTTTACCGAGTAATTTCTTTTTGTCTATTCCAGTGCAAGAGTTGCCGTCGAATCCACAATTTTGAGTCTGTAAGTCTCAGAGAAACAGAGAATTGTTGCAAGTGTAAAAAGTCTACGTCTTGTTGCTCGCAATAGATCACAAATATCTTCACGCGATTTTTTGGTGTGATAAACGGCTGTTACATATTCACGCCTGAATTTCTCAACTTTATTTGTGTCTCTGTGGATGAATCTTTGTTTTCCATAATAATATGGGGGAATTAAACATTTAAATCTGCCTATTTGATGATATTAGTATCATTAGTGAGTAGACAGTATAAGCTGAAATATGTACGTGTCACGAACCGATGTGTAATCACTCAGAATATTTGAGCGAATAGTATCCATGACTTAGATTCAGATATGTCCGGCTAACACATCTTACCCAAAAGCATGAATGGTGCATGTATGATATGACTGTCAATCACCACTTATCAAACCGAAATGTTTGTTCACAATAGTTTAGTCAGTCAAAATCCGTGTGATACTGTTCACTCTGTGATCTCAACTATGGATGCACCCAAGAACTATGTTCAAAAAACTCAATTCAACAAATGTTTGAGGTAGTTTGGATTATTTATTTGAAATTCATGAGCTAGATATATTTACATATACACAGATTTTTCCGGCAGCAACTCTAAGAGTGATATTCTCTAGCCTCCCACTACTTTGAAGCAATAAGAAGGACAGACTTCTGCATATGATCACTTTAATGTGCATTTATCAGTTCACCTGCTCTTGTGGAGCTAGGTACATAGGTCGTTCTCTGCGTGTCTTATCAAAATATGTTAGGGGACATCATTCAGCATGGCTTCAAAGAGGAGGCACTGGTTCAATCAGAAGTGCAATAACTGAGCATCTCGTCGATACCTGTCACAGAACCTCAACCGACTCATCATTTAGAGTCATTCACAAAGTTAACAAAAATCTACAAAGGCAGTGTGTTTCCGACTTCTCTGTACTGCGGAAGCTCTCGCCACATGCATCGAAAAGCCGGAGCCATGTCTTCAAAAGAAACTAGTTCAGGCTTTGCAACTACCATCCACCCAGTTCGGTATGTTCCATTATCCTTCAGTTTCTTTTGTTTTGTTATCTGTGTGTGTAATTTTCTCTCTTTACCTTCACTCAATCCATCGTATTTTTTTCAGTTATAAAATCAGTTTGTTTCCATGCTCCTCTTGATCACTTTGTAATCCGTTTAGAATAACCATTTTCACAATTATATTCTAATCCTGTGTAACTTTTTGTTTCTATGTCTCTTGTAATCTATATTCACACCTCCTAACTTACATTTCAAGTTGAAAAACTTTGATTTCAATTTGTTTCCATGCTCATTTTGTTTGTTCACACCTGTAGTTCGTTCTATCGTTGCGTCTCTAAGCCTCTTGTAATTTATATCAAGTTGAAAACTATTATCACCTTTTATTCGCCTTTAAAATTAATTCCGTAGTTATCAAATATTAATTTAGCATACATTGTAGCTATTTTCTAATCCTATGAAATCTTGTCTCTAAGCCCCTTGTAATCTTTAT